GAATTTTTACAGTTGTCTGCTATAAGTCTGCAGGCAGATGAATAATTCACTTACAGGCAGGCTTATGCTGTCTGCCTTAAATCAGAGAAATAGTCTAGCCGCTGTGGGTGAAGCTGGTTACCATGGGGGGTTACGCACTTCTTATGATGACTGTACAGTTAAACTGTTTAATTGCTAATTGAGATAATTTCTTGTTTTGAGTAGGAGAAAACTCTAGCTAAAATCTTTTGACCATGCTTCACACGCAACCTGGCTAATCTTGTCACTAGCCCACCATTTCGATACATGCAACATGTTTATCGCAAGCCACTTTTACTGGTGATTTCAACTTATGTTTTGATATGGAATTATTTCACATTAAATTGCTTGTATGTGTTTGACAATAAATATTCGAGAGAAAATCCTTTTAATTGTGCGTTGTATCCTTTCATATCAAGCATACAACGTTTATTGCAATCATATTTCTTATTTATCAGCATGACAAAAAGCAATCATTCTTTATCCCAGAACTGATTGTAGTATAAATGTATAAATTGTTGTATAAATTGTACAAAAAGGACCTAGAACTCAATTTCAGCCAAAAATATTTGGAATACGGTTTCCTTAAGCTTTGCTTTAAAATTAGCGTTTTTAGCACTAGTGAATAATTGGTATTAGAAAACCCCATACCATTGAATTTTTCCATTAAAAATTTGAAATAGGCATTCGCGAACAAAAGGTTATAATAGTTAATTGATAAAGCAGCAAGTAGTATAAATATGGGTATGATGAACCACCTCCTTCTCAATATGAAATAAATAAGTTACGGAAAATAAAAAGAAATTAAATAACGAAGTTACTAAGAAAGTTGAGATAAACTATTCTATTTGTGTTAGGGAAAAACTGAGATCTGGGTTGAGCAGACTCTTCTTTTTTGTTTCCTTCATGCTTACGATTTTCAAATGATTTGTGCAAATTGTATAGTAACTAACCTTGTAAAAAGTATTTTATAAGTACTTCTGCCTTATATGTCCAAAATTTTCTAGTGTTCTCGTCAAGTTTCAATTGAACAATAGCCATAGAAAATCCATAATGGACCTGCGATTGTGCGAAGTACTATCAACATTTTCTAGAATCCAATCTACAAAATAGAGTTTGTCGAGAGCCTTGAATCATAATCTTGGGATACAAATGCTGTTCAACTGTTGATCTAGAGACATTTTGTTAAGGAACAATACGATTTTCCTCTCACAGTGAGATAAAGTTCGAAGTAACTTGCAAGATAGCATCGAAGCACTTCC